TTTTTCGGCCTTTGTTCAACTTTTGCGCGATATTCAGTGAATTGATCGGTTGCTTCCAGGTCATATACGTACACCCAAGCCTCATTTCATCTCATTATGCACATAAAATTTTAAGTAACTTTTTTGCTCCACTAAATCATACATTCCAAAAATTGGAACTTCTGTCCTATGAAACCAAGCGCCTCTAAAATCCTAATGACTAATGAATAGAATTCCTTCCTTGTATAAAATTTTCTCAGAAAATGCGTGACTTTATCTTCAGCACTTCTCAAACCAAGCTCCCTGCCCTAAAAGCATTTTCCTTAAGCAAAAGTATTCATTTATCCGTTTAAATCTACATATGACAGCTTTTTCGAGCTTTAATTAACTGAAAAATATTACCCTTCTTGTTTAATTCGGTGATCACGGTTCGTTGCTGAATCGTGATAAATGATAGAAGCTGGACGCGATGGAACATTCGTCAATTGAGCCGGAGGGAGCATTACCTTACCACTGTGATAAGTCAAACATCTACGATGCTTCTATTTGTGAAACTGGGTAAGTATATGAGAGATTGCTTTTCGCCGCTAGGGAAAGCTACAAAGAATAATTGACGCAATTAAAATTAAAAGCGAGAATTATATATCAAAATTCGTGGTCTCGTGCAGAGGCAAAACCTGTCGTTGGAAACACAGTGCACGATAGTGACAAGAAGATTTTCCAATAAAGCACATAAGCTGCTGTAGTTACGGACAATTGACCTACTATCAAAATTATGATACCAATTTTACCAGATGGTGGAAAGGGCTCGCGGAGACATCCTACTACAGTCTATGTGAATGCGTGTTTTGAGAAACAGATACCTGATCATTGCTGAACAATTTGAAACACCGAACGCAGTAGAGTGTTCAGAGCCAAAGAAATTGATAACAAATGATTTTAAATGATTTCAAATGATTTCGAAATTATTTCAAATAATTTTAAATAATTTTAAATAATATCAAATAATTTCAAATAATTTAAAATAATTTCATATAATTTTAAATAATTTCATATAATTTCAAATAATTTAAAATAATTTCTAAATTTCAAACAATCTCAAGTTATTTCAAATAACATCAAATAATTTTAAGTTATTTCAAATAATTACAAAAAAATTTCAAAAAATTTCAAATAATTTCACATAATTTCAAATAAATATTCCTACGACGAGACCGCTCGCACTGAAAAATCACTTTCGACACAAAACTAAATCATGCAAGCTCGGAGTATGCTCTTCAGAGGAACTTGCCTTCGAAAAAGAAAAAAAACACATTTTTTATATGAGAGAGGAAGAAAAAATTAATATAAAATCGCTTTAATAATAGAGTAAGGAAAAAAGTTTCAACCACTTGCTTATCCCCCAGGCAGAGCATAATCTTTAGTAAATAATGTTGTAGAAGAAAATGGCTTTACTTCAAAGGAAAAACTTTTCGCAAAACTTTTATGTTATGTTCGCATTGAGAACGATGTTCCATGGCTAAAATAAAATCTTGCATCTAAGCTTGGAGTACTTACAGAATAATGTCGCAAAAAATATGTTTACGTCTTACTATGCGTTCTGAAAACTAACCTCCCACACTTTATGAAACTTAAGTTAAGTTAAAACGTGCCCTGGCCAAGTGCAGTTTGTATAAAATCCTTCCGGAATAATATCACCACTTTGCGGATAGCAAATGCAAAGCGTAAATATACTTTTGGTTCAACCTGTATATTTACTTGAACGTCGTCTGTGTATATGTATTTATATGATATGTGATGTGCACATACGAATGCAAACGCCTAGGTATTTATAGTGTTTGATATCTCGCCACTGATATACAAACTTAAGTTATTTACGACCGAAAGAGAACATAATTTTTCTGTTTTAATGCTGGCTCCGTCCGATTGCATTCAATAAGAAAGACAAGTAAAAAAAATAGAAGAAGAAAAACAAAAATGCAGAAATCGAGAGTGTTTTCATCATACATGCATTTAAACGGACCTCAGACGTAAGCTGCTTATATATATATGTATATATATATATACGTGCTTTTTTGTGTTGTTGTTATTTTTGGAAACACAGAATACTTGCTCGTATTCGTGTAGTGTGTTAAAGCGGAATTTTGCAAAAATTTTTAAGGTCAAATGAAATTCATTTAAACACTTATGTTAAAAAAAAAAAAAAAAAAAAAAAAATTCTTTGCAATTTATATTAAAATAAATTGAATATTATTTATTTATTTTTTATTTTTTTATTTTTTTTTTTTTGATAAAAACACAACTTTTCCCGAGTATATGGTTAAGACCTACCTTTTGTGTGTGTCTTTATTTAGATTAGCTTCACTGTCCGAATTATGTTGCACTTCACCAACACTGTGCTAAAAACTTTAGTTAAAAAGAAACTTTTTTTTTTTGTCTTAATTTTACCGATAAATTTTATTTTTACAAAATTAGTCACATTTTTGATTTTGATTTCATTTATTGCAAAAATGTTTTTATTTAGTGTAAAATTAATTACATAAATTTTCTTTAGCAATAGAAATGATGTTAAAAGCAAATATAAAATTTCGGCGCAATTTGAATTTTTTCTTCTTCTTCTTTTTTTTTTTTTTGATTTATTTTATATCAGATTCAGTTGTTTATTTATAATATAATAAATTTCTTTATATTTCACTTGTTTTATTGCACTTGAGGGAAAAATATATATAAAAGTTTATTATAAGATAATAAAGAAATTCTCTATCAACACAGAGAACAGAACGCACACATAATCATTTTATCTCCAAAATTTATAAACTCTTTGATTATAAATGTTTCGAAAATTAGAAAATTTATTAAGCTAACGTTTTTATTTAATAATTAATAAAGCGATAAAATTCCGTTAGGAAAGCAAAGCATAAAATGCCGTAGTGTCTCCTTTTAATAATAATAGTCGTAAAGAAGAACTTGCCAGGAAAGTAAGACCAACTTTTCTGCCTATGATAATGACGTTTACATTATTACAGGCATTTTTGATTTTCTAATTCAAAAATCCCGAAAGTTAAGTGCGCTGTGTACAGTACTAGACCAGCGAGCACTTAGCGGCTGCCTGCTGGCTACTTTACGAGTTTAATGTTGTCTTTTTTTTTCTTTTTTTTACTATAGAATCCTCACGCATTTAAGTGTCTCGTGTGTACTTAAGTTTGGCTCGCATTTCCTGCTTAAGTAAGCTTTTCTACGGCATGTGTGAGTACTTGCTGAATTACTCTTAAACTTCTTGTTGCCTACGAATTTCTTATATACTTAGTTTTGTCTATTGATTATCTTCCTAGGTCTATGGGTTCCCTGTGTGCTTAACTTTATCTATAGATTTCCTTTGTGATTTACTTTATCTGCTGGTTTGATGAGTGCGTAGCTTTGTTTATGAATTCTTTACACATAATTAGCTTCGCCAATGTCTTCCCTGTTTACTTGGATAAGCTAACTGGGTTTCCTGTTTACCTTACTATGTCTATGGATTCCGTGTCTGCTTTGCTTTATCCATAGGTTCCCTTATGACTAGGTTTGCCGATGCATTCTTTGATTACTTAACTTTTTCTGTGTGTTCCTTCAGAACTTAGATCTGCCTATGTGTTCCTTGCTTATTTGGAAAATTTTCGGAAGATCATGCATACTTAGATGGGAGTATTGATGCCGTGTGTGTTTTGCTTTATTCTTAGATTTCTTTTGTAATTAGTTTTGTCCGTGGCTTTGCTTATGCATTCCTTGTTTAGTTAGCTTTGGCAGTATGTTCCCTATGTACTTAGATTTTCCCATGTGTTCCCTGTTTACTTGGAGAAGTCTATGGGTTCCCTGTGTGCTTTGCTATATCTATAAACGTCGCGCGTGTTTCGCTTTATACTTAACTTTACCAAGGGGTATGATTCTCAATGTGATTAACTTTGTCTACGGGTTTCAAGAGTACTACAGTATAAACGTGTACCGACCTGTGCTGTTCGATGAGCTATCGATTTTAAAGGAATATGACCCAAACGGGATGATTAATTGGACAATCTGGTAATTGTTGAAGAAATTGAAGAAGAATTGTTGAAGAATTGTTGTTGCGAACAACGATAGATTTAAAATTCAGCTTGGAAATGACGGCTCCATAGTCAGCCGCCACAGAAAATTGAATGCAATAAAATGGGTTTGAAAGCTTTCAATTATTGCACACGCACCTGCCCTTCAGTCTATATATATTTAATACGACTCGTCTATTTTTGGTTTACTTTTTTATGCAGGGTCGAATAAATATTTAAACGTTTTTGAAATTTGGAACTAATCCGGATGGATTTAAGTTTTTAGTTTTTGGGATTCCATACTTGTTTTCTACTTGTTTTCTTCTTGAAACAGGACGATTCACTTTCCGGAGAAAATTCTTATAGCAAATTAACTAAGGTACATTAGAATGGGGCGTTTTTCTATAGCGCTCGCTTAAGGGTCAGGTCATTCCTACCAAAATTCCAGCATTTGATTATTTCTCAATAACATCGTCAGTAAATATTCACTGCCTAAGGTAATGAGTGGTATATATCCTACCACGTCTTTCGCATAAATATGAAATTTGACTTTCGGAAGTCCACAAAATAAACTCGCATCTTCTATGAGTCAATGTAGCTCTTCCGTAGCTCTAACATTATAAGACTTCCTTTTCTTTTCTTCCCTTTTAATTCTTTTTTTTTATTACATAGCTCTTGTCACTTTTCTTTCCCCTCTTTCCTTATGTTTCTTTTCATTTTATTACATAGCTCTTGTCACTTTCCTTTCCTTTTTTGCGATTTTGTTTTATTTTTTTTCTATTACATAGCTCTTCTAAATATTTACCCAAAATTTGCATACTATATATAAGGATATATCCAGTTTTTGTAGGTCGTTTTTAAGTCTTCATATATTTTGAGATTCGTCGGTTCTATTTTCTTCCATTTGGCATTGGAAGAAAAAAGATTATCCTTAAGAAAAGAATAAGAAGCTATGTCATGGAGGAATAGGAGCAAAAAAACGACTTGTATTGGGGACATGTGTACCGACATAACAAAAAAAAGAAAGAGATTCAAAAATCGAATATTTGAAATGTCACCTTTTTTTCTTTTTTTTTTAATCGCCTCTCGTATATGGACCAAGTCTAAATATTTTTATATAGATTTTCAAATCAATAGATAAACAGACAGAAGGAAGTTCTTATGTAGATCTCTAAACGTTAGAAAGGGAATAAAAAACTTAATTTTTTTTCCGCTCTTCTATGTGATACTTGAGTCCTGTTAAAAGAAATATTGGCAAAGCAAAAATAAATATTATCCTTTTATCAAGCGAGTTATAAATACTAAAGACATTGCTTATGTATGGTCAAGTATTCTCTGCTCTAGCTCTGATGCATTGATATGATGATAGTTTTCTTTTTTTTTTAAACCATTTTTTTATGTATGCATTAAATATTAATTTAACTTGATTTGTTAACATTAAATATCAATCATAAAAATGCGCATACATTCCCGTCTTACAGCTTTTTGTTGCACATAATCGTACGAGGCATAAAATTCCATAAAATATTTTCCAGCGAGAGACACCGACTAATGACAATTTATACGCTTTTTTCACATAACTCAAAATATTATACAAAATTGAATTAAAGTATTTATGTGCACTTTTGTCTTCTCTTTTGTTGATTTCTTTTATTTAAAAAAAAAAAAAAAAAAGTTAAAATCTGCCAATAAGTTACGGTGTTAATCAAAGACCGACCACAAAAACATCACAAAAATAAAGAGCAAAAACTAAGGTAAAGTATTTGTTTTCGTTATAACGGTTTTTTTTTTTCTTAATTTTTATTTTTATTTATTTATTTATTTTTTTTATTTCTCTTATTTGTCTTGAAAAGCACTTAATGCATCACTAAGATCCGTTGTTGTATTACTGTTACTTTTTTCTTCGTATGCTTTTCTCTTTTGCAATGGTAGCAGACATCGTTGTTAAAAGCAAACAAGAAAAGAAACAATACTCGAAACGAAAAAAAAAAAACAAAAAAAATTTTTTTTTTTTTCTTTAATTGTGAACAAAAATTGATTTCGCGAAGCTTTTTGCTTAATTCAATGCGTATAACAGAGACTAAATCACCGATAATCTCTTTGTTTTGTTGTATGTTTGGTTACGCGTTTTCATAGATTCGACTTTAAAAAGAATTGATATATAATGTAAATAACGTAAATAACGAACGATTTTCTTAAGTTGCTTTCGATGCAAATGAAAATTTAAAACTGATTGAAAAATTTCTCCGTCTCAAAATTTTTGCTGCGCCCATTGAGTATATTATATATTTATTATTAATTTTTTTTTTTTTTTTTTTGCTTTATTTTTCAAGACAACCGAACAAGATCCAATACCCACAAACACTTTAATATGAAAAAAGCTATGAAACAAACCGACAGCACACAACCTAACCGACAACAACAGTATATTATTCTCGCATAAAGCAAGCAACAACAATAAATTGAGCGTTCGTACATTCACTCGTTCGTTGTCGTTACAAACTAGCAACTAGCAGATCATACCAGCAGCCAGTCAGCCAGCCAACCATTAGTTATCATACCAACCAAGAGCATAGGAATAGTGTATGTTTGCAATTGTATGAATGTACATATATATGTGTGTATGTATGTATTCATACTAAGCTCTTAATACCAGTAGCAAGCAAAGTATAAAGCTATTCGCAATACAGAAGCTTCCAATATTAGCTTAACAGCTTGACAAAATTTGAAGTGCCACCATTTTCGCTTTAACAAACAAACAGACGACGAGACCCTAAGCCTTTATACATATATCTGCAATCGATGCAAACAAATCTTTCTTTTCTTAATTTTATAGCTAACGAGCTTGATTTACTACTACACTAAGAATAATAACAATTGAGATCATTTTCTGTTTCCAAGATTTTTTGTTATTACTTGTAGGGAGCAAACTACAGGTAAGAATATTTTTCTCTTTAAGAAGAGAAAAGTACTACATGCGCTCCCATAGGCAGCATTGAATTTACGGTTAGTCTTCTCAACAGCAAAGGCATATGTTATAAATATATTAAATGCAGAAATAATTGTTCAGTGATTTATTTTTATTTTTCTTAAAAAGCGCTTATTTCAAGAGAATGCAAAATTGTACATCGCTAGCCACTACTACGGTGGTCATCTTTCTGAGAAAATATGTACGCTTTGGCGAAAAGCCAATCGATTTTATCAATCGCGATAGACCGGTAATCGAAGCGTTGCTTAGATAGTTTATAAGTCAATTCAATTAAAGCCATTTTTAACCAGAAACGATTATGCCTAATAAGTGTTGCGAGGAGATTAATATTCCACTCCAATGTGGCGAACATTTACTGGACGAACTTTATTTGGTATAAAGCCCCGGTTTTTTAGTTCAATCACATCAGTTATTGTTGTTAGTGGTAATTGAAATAATAT